CACTGCTTGCTTAAATGAATCTCTTCGCACTGAATTTTATTGACAGATGTCTAACCTCTAAAATGCAGCCAGTTTCAGATGTCAAAATAAATTATACCTACAACTAACGTCATCTAACTGTGAGCCGCAGGAACTAAGTTTACCACCTAATACTAACAATGGATCTGACAGAACTGTTGCTCATCGATTTTGATGCGCTTTGGATATGTTGTAGAGCATGAAAAACTATTAGACACGTATTTTTGTTATCGGCCGAATTCGAGATTTAGAGGTTGAAACAGCCCCTTGAGAAAAAAGGAGTTTTTCATTGTTATTGAATATTTCCTATATGAAAAAAATATTTCCTACAAAAGTTGTACAGTATTTAACCTACAGTTACTAGACTATCGAAATTTACCGTTGTTACTAGACTGGATGTGCGTTACCCGAACAATTTTCAATTCATATCTCGGAGTTAAACCAATTAGAATGTTTTTGAATTAGAATTTCTTTGTTTAAATGAAAGTTTAGAATCTCACAAAAATGAATATTGTAGCTAAAATATCGAAAATTAATTTGATTAAGTATAGAAATATTTTGTAAAATGTCAACACATTTTTCAGAAAAATTGGTTTTTTTCAAAGTCCCGTATCTTTGCTTTAAAATAAGATAAATGAACTTTACAGGTGATTAATGTAAACTCATAGAGTTAAACTTTAAGGTCTTTGCGGTCGTTTCAAGATTTATTAAAATAAACATATTTTTTCTGCAAAATGAAAATCACTAAATTTTAACATTTTGGAATACACAGTTTCTCACGTATAAGACGCTTTATTTTTAATTTTTTTTATATAAGGTATACATAAACGATAATACACGAAATATTAATACAAAAACGATAATACACGAAATATTAATACAAAAATAAGAAAATTTATTTATATAAAAAAATTAAATATCTTTTTCGCACACACACACACATAACTCACACAAATTTTAGCAATGTGCTTTTTACACATTGGTTTGCAACAGCGGATACAAAAAATCTGGTTTTGTGGTCGGCAGAAGACAGACATAATTGACAATAATTGACGCTTTGGCTTATCCATTACATTGCAAGGTAGCTCATCGCGAGGATCTTATTCTTCTGGTCTCTGTTCAGGAGAAAAAAATTGGAAATAGTATTCCTTAAAAAACCCTCAATGTGGGAAACATTAAAGGGTGTTTGAGCATAGGCTTCACAAGAGCTCATAGGCAGACAGATCTAAAATGAGGTCTCGCCTTTGGAGGAGTTTGTTTGCAGAACATAAGGAGTATAAAATACATGCGTTTACATTGCATTGGTCGAGAATACCGTATAAGATTCGCATAGGCCATCGAGCGGTTCTACGTGTTATAATGTAATCATGACACTTTTTATCAAAACTATCAGTACTATCAAAACTATTAGTACTATCAAAACTATCACTCTTAGTCTTATTATAAAAAAGAACAATCTCGGGTTTATTTTCTGTTTTATTCATTTTGCCGGTCTTGTGTAATGACAACAGTAATAGAACTATTTTTTTCTTTTTGGGATTCGAAACGAGCGTCATATTATCATTGTAATAAAAATTGTGAATTCGAGCCTTCGGGTAGTACTTTTTTGAAACTACACTAAGGAATTTCTGACTTATTTACGTATAGTGCTTATACGTACTTATGTACGTATAGTGCGTATACGTACTTATGTACGTATAGTGCCTACCATAGTCAAATGAAACTCGTTTCTTATTTTTGGTACAATTTGAACGAAAGTAAACCAATTATCTGTCGTGACATTGCGACTGCTCTGATAAATACTTTCACATAATTTGCGCACATAATAAGACGGTACTGCTTTTGTAGCTTTTTTATTCACACTTCCCACATACGGAATCGCATCAAACCTATAATGCGTTGCTGCGTCATTAATCGTAACAATTTTCAGACTATATTTATCTGGTTTCGCTGGCAAATACATTTTAAACGGACATTGCCCACGGACAGCAATTGTTCGTCTATTGTGCAATTACTACTGGTTCGTACAATGCTCTACAATTATTTATAAAAAGATCCCAAATATTACGAATGCAAGCTAATTTATCTGTTTGTCTACGCTCTTCACGTGTATTTTTATCATCGAATCTCACTGATATCGATAGATATTCAAATATATTAGGTGTACAACTTTGTTTCCGCAATTCGTTTTTTTCCGAAATTCGAGGCTTTATTGTAAAAAACTGGTTATACATTTATGATTCAAAGTATCGTCCATCGCTAGCCACTACTTTCTTCCATCTTTCGGACAGCGTACGAATTCCGCGTCGAAAAAACTGGTCATCTTTTGAGGCGATCCACGAATCGATCCAATTTTTTACTTCTTCATAAGACCGGAAGTGCTGGTCATCCAGGCCGTGTGCCATTGATTGAAACAAGTGATAGTCAGAGGGAGCAACGTCTGGAGAATACGGCGGATGAGGTAGGACTTCCCATTTCAACGTTTCCAAGTATGTCTTGACCACTTTCGCAACATGGGGTCGAGCATTGTCATGCTGTCACTTTATCGTGTATCTCGTTGTATTGTCTTTCAATGCTCGTGTTACGTCGGGATGTTACGTCCTGGTAGAGAACGCAACACGACGTAAGGCCTCGATCGTACTAGCAGGTCGAGTTACGAGTCAGCGACCAGAAGGATCGCTTTACACGTGTATCGACGTACGACGAGTGGTCCTTTTTCGATCAGAGAACTGAATCTCTTTATCGCGGACGGACCGAGAGCGGATAAGAGAAATAAAGGGGGAAAAGGGAAGGATTCGAAAAGAAATTGTATTGCTATAATTTGAATTAGAATTTAGATAATTCTTAACGATTACATTTATTTTTCTTGCGGGGTTGTTACAATTTTTATTAACTACTGGCACGAAGACAAAGTACGCGTGTGTGTGTGTGTTTATGTGAGTGTGTGTGTGTGGACTTCTGGGTGAGGCTGAGCATTAATGCTCAGGATCATTGGGAGGTGAAGAGGGTGAAAAGTAGGTCGTGGGGGAAGATGGAGGAATAGGTGGAGGTGCTGGACGAGGAGGCAGATTTTGAGGAAAAAAAAAAGAAAAACCGCCAAGTGAGATAGGAAGGGTGGTAGGTTTTGCTGATCCAGGAGTCTAGGTAGCGACCTGTGCGTAATCCGGGACAAATACTGTACGCGAGAGAGAGAGAAGGAGAGAGAGAGAGAGAGAGAGAGAGAAACAACTCCAGGATGTAAAAAAAGGGGGGGAATCGCGAAAGTCGCTTGTCTGATGACACAGTCGGGGTCCCACTACAACGGGAAAGGACAAACCAACTTAGAGAAGTTGACACCCCGGAATTACCAATGGGTTAAGATGGGAAGACATCTACCCGGAGTTAAAGTTTTGATATTGAGGGGAAGAAAACGAGTAACAAAACGATAACTTACTGTTGACGTGCGATTTGGAGGAGAGTAACTGTTGCTGGATTTCTCAGTTGGGCCCCCTTCGATCTTCGTCTGAATGGAACCTGGTATTTGTGTGTGAGGGTTGCGGACGATCGCACGATGAATACAGCAATAAGCACAGAGAGTTGAATAGCTGAACTCTTAGGATACTTGGATTTTTCCTTAGTGCCACGCGGTGCGCGGAGTTGCGGTTATATACGATATCAACTGGAAATGGTTTGGTAGGGAAGATGTGGAAATTTGGGGGTTCCTAGGTTGTTGGATTCGTCAGAGAAAATGGTATGGGGGACTGCTGTATCCAGTAGTAAGTAAGTAGACAGTGTTAAGGAAATCTTCTTGGCTGGGGTTGTGGGTGGAGAAAATCATACATTTCAAAAGAGAAGGTTATTGGAGGATTTTTAAGGTGGTGAGGGAATCAGCAGATGAGGCGGAACCGGATAACGTAAGTTAGAAAATGTAGCGGACATAATTTTTTGTTATCCAGCGATTCCTTTTGATCCCAAGGATAAGGTTCGGCGAAGTTTACTTCGCGGATTAAGGAATTTTAGTGCTGTATTTCCCAGGGTTATTTCGGAATTTTAGTCGGAATTTTTATTGGGGAAA